TCATATTAACATAAAGACAACAACAAATAAAGTACAAAATTGTTGCAGGTAAGACATGTTTAAAAAAGGCAAAAACAAATAAAATATTAAAAAGACAGCGGCACAGGGCTGCACAGTTAAAATAAAACAATAAATATAAGCAATCAATTTAAATAGAAAGAAAGACAAGGAAAAACGTGATATAGTAATTGTGTTCAACCAAGTGGTGATGTCGGCCAATGTTAGTTGAAATATGTTTGTATAGTTGTTGAGTAATCTGTTTGTTAGTTCAGTAGCAAACTCTATAAGTAATATGCGAAGGAGGTGTAAAACTCAGACAGAATAATATTTGCAACATCATTTCATATTTTTCTTGTATCTTAACTCACCACATCATCTTCCATATCCATTCTAGGCTACTTTGTCTACCTTTCACTCGACATAACTAGACGAAGTAGCTTAGGGGTAGAATCAATTACTTAGTTAATCCATGCTATATCATTGGTATCAGAGCATTTTAACAATCATGCACATTCGAAATCTACCACCATTGTATGCTTCATTGCAATTTGTCACAACTCTCACACATCAAACACAACTTGTCACTTGTAATTTCTATAATTATTTCTCATACATGCCAATTATTGACCACTTCGCAAATTATTTCTGATTTTATACCTTCTTCCCATTTTTGAAAAACAGAGGATGAGAGAGATATGTCGTTCATTACGTGATTCATTCATCACGTTCTGCACATTTGTGCGGCACAAATGGCATCCACTCATGGTGCTGATGTTTGTCTTGCTCGAGCTTGCTTTATTTTTTCTTACCGGTCTGTCTAGCATCATCGAATTTCAGAGAGTTGGACCATATTGGGCGCTTTTTGGTGTTGCTGCTTTTACCAGCCTGGTTCTTGTGATGTTACCCATGACGGACAAATTTGTGGAGTTCGTGGCATTGATTCGTCCAGGGTTGTCGAATGAATTTGGAGGCCCCGGTTCAAAATGAAAAATCGGGGCCCCACATTTATATAAACCAAATACTTATACTCAAATCAATTAAATACTCATTAAAAAAGAACGAACAGAGTAAAAGGACCAATGAAAAAACGATGGATCTATATTTTTCTTCTTTACTAGCTAACTGTATTTTATTGATTAGTATTAATACATAATATTATTACGGAGTATATAATACTAATAATTTTTAAAAAAATTGGGGCCCCATAATTCTAGGGGGCTGTTCTGGATAACCAATTGAACCTACTAAAAAACGGCCTTGACTAACATGAACATGAAGTCTAGAAGACACCATATGTATGTGTCTTCCACTCTTCCTACTTACAAAGTCAAACACTGGTGGATGAGAGAGGCCATATCAATTCCGGATCTATTACATTTTGTTATTAACCCATTAAAGATTTCAAAAAAAAAAAAAACATAATAGCCTAGCGCTTGAAAGTTTTGGTGTAGTGTAGTGTAGTGTAGTCATGTTTTAGTAATTTGAGATATTGACAAGGACGGATTTAGGGGGAGCGGGAGGCGACCGTCTGATAGACCTTCAGATTTTTCTATTATATAGAATATGTAATATTTTCATACTTTAATTAGATATATGTATGTGTTAGTCCCCTTAATTTTTAGATTTCAAAATTATATACATTCATACATAATATAATACTTAATAGGAGATTTAAAAGGAAAAACAGTTAGAATAATTTATCATTATTTGGACTAATAAACAATACAACAACTCAATGATTTATGATTTAGGATATTTATTATATACATTAATGTATGCATCTTAATCTTAGTATCATTAAATTAAGAGAAAACTATCAAATAGGTCCTCGTACTATTGCGAAAAAAGCCAATTTGATCCTCGTACTATCAGTCTATCACATCAACCAATTAAACCCTCAAATGATTGCCACGTAAGCAACACATAAGCAAGAAACTTAATAATTGGTGTTTGATCGTTCCCAGATCAACAATCGAATAAATCTAAATAATAATTGAAAGAATTTAAACAGTAGAAGAATAATTCATCAACATTCAATACCGTATATTCAAAATAATGTAGCAATGATGCATATACACCGATGAACTTGTTGAGAGAGAATTATCTATCTAGATACTCTATGAGAATAATATGTGCGGAACATAATGTGTAGTGACTTAGGCTGTATGAACCATCTCTGTCTGTATTTATAGGAGAGAAAGGTCGAGCATCCTATTACAATAAGAGTACAGAGTGGGGCATGCGTGTGGGCTTTAATTAGAACAAATAAAAAGTCTGATTCTCTCTCAACTAATCATGCTAATACTAAGACTCATTAAATAAAAGATAATTACAAATAATTTGAACACAATTAAATAATGTTCTAACAACTGGTATCTTACCGGTTAAATAGCTATGGGCATTTTTTTTATAATTTGAGGGTATAATTGGTTGATCTGATAGTGCGAGTACTCAATTGACTCTTTCGCTATAGTACGATAACCTATTTGATAGTTTTCCCTTAAATTAATATATGCACTTCATCGACCCAATAATTATGAAGTGGGTGTGCATAATCAAATGATTTTATAATAATTGATGTGCATCCGTTAATGATTTTGGAAATGAGGGAGAACAAAGTGCATAAAATTATTGAAAAATGGTGCCATGAAAGAGAGATCTCAGATTCAATCTTTCAACTCTAAACAATGATTTAGAATGGAATCCCATCAGGGACGGATGTACAGCCAAACTAGGGGGCAACTGCCCCAATAAAGGCTCAAGAATATCCTATGATCCATTACAAAAATATTGTATTGCACACAAGTGCCCCTAATAAAAATAAATGAATGCCCCCATATACTTCAGGCCAAGCCCCCAAGCCAGTAGTCTTGCACAGTTGCACGCTAGAGAGTCTATCGGCTCAAATAATCCAAATTATCCAATAGTCAAATGTCAAAGTAAAATGCTTTTCAGATTTTTGTTAGTAGGGGGAGTCATTGCATAGTGTTAGTGTCAATGTGTAGTCATTGGGTAGATTTTATCTGCAAGGCTTTATAGTCATTTTAGATATTGTTTAGTTATATATAAATAGCTAATAAATACGAATACCAGGATTTAACAATTTAGATAGAAAAAAATTCCATTTTTGGTCCCATGACTATTATACCACTTCCAAATTTAGTCTCTTACTTTCAGATTGTCCACATTTAGTCCTTGACCATTATCCCATCACCACCCCTCGTCCTCCCGGCCAAAATTCCGGCAAATTTAGTCCACTTATCAGCCTCAAAATCAGTCTTTGCATTAAATTTTATATAATGTTGGGTTTTTCATATCAGTCTTTGTATTAAATTTGTTTTTTCATACCTAAAATCTGCATTAAATTTGCCGGAATTTTGGTCGGAAGGATGAGGGGTGGTGAGGAGATAATGGTCACGGAATAAATGTGGACAATCTGAAAGTAAGAGACTAAATGTGGAAGTGGTATAATAGTCATGGGACCAAAAGTGGAATTTTTTCATTTAGATAGCTAACCGCCTAACTATGTAAAATGTACGAAGTAATTTCTAAATAGCTAACAGTAGGTTTAAATATGTAATGATTAAACACTGTAATACTCCCTCCGTCCCAATTTGATGGTCTCATTTCTTTTGGGCACAAGTTTTAATAAAGTGGTTAAAAAGGTAAAAGTTGTGGTTGAGATTTGAGTATAATAAAGTGAAATGATATGGACCACATCTTTCTTTCCAAAAAGGGAAACATGATCATCATTTTAGGACATCTCAAAAAGAAAATACAAGATCATCATTTTGGGACGGAGGTAGTAGTAATTAGTTAACAAAAAATCAATCATACTTTTATGAGATTTATGAACAGATTTTTGAATAAAATACCCTTCTCAACACCGAGAAGTTTAAGTTGAAATGTGTATAATAGTTCTTCTCAATGTGCTACTTCAATTCCTAAATAGGTTAATTTCAAATATGAGTCTCCTTCGGACCCGCAAAAAAGAATCCAAATATCATCCTCATCAAAGAGACGAAATTCAGGCAACTTGAATATTCGAGACGATCTTACTTAAGTGATGGTGAAAACAAGAAGTATATCTTTCACATCCTTTGGTATATAGACTTTTAAAGATTGCTTTGACTTTGCCGGTTGTCAACGGGTGATGCTTTCCTACTATTTCAATATTGAAATATCAGAAATCAGGAAAGTTACATCAAGAGTGTTTTTACTTGGACTAAAATTTGTTGGTCTGGTCTGATCTAATCTGTTTATGTCTGATCTGGTCTGAACTAGTCTGGTAATGTTTGGTCTGAACTGGTCTGGTAATGTCTGGTCTCTGTGTATTTTATAACTACAAAAGTCTGGTCTGGTCTGAATTGATTTGGTTTGTTTAAGTCTGATCTGGTCTGCAACTGAAAACATTCCAAGTAAAAACATTCCAAGACAAACAATCTTGACCCAATTATCGACCCTTGGACCAGACTTAAAGTCAATCACCCTCAAAGTCTCTTGTACTTTATTGTAATATACTTTATTCTGTTTCGACGTTCTCGTGTACTTTATTACAAATTTTTGGTGTTCATATTAATACTAGTATTATTTAATCTTATTTTTATTCATGTACTTCATTCATACTTTGACCCCAACACTTTTATTTTCTGGATCCGCCACTGGACTCCACTATCTTACCTTTAGAGTGTTATCAAAGCTCAACTTACATCCTCTCAAATAACTGTCTGATCGATTATACGGCTATAAAGAATGCAGTTTCATTCTTTTTTAAAATGGGGGCAAAGCCCAAGATAAAAGTCAGATATGACCTTGGTCTATAAATTTATTACCAAACAGATACGATAGTATTAGTTGACCTTATCACTAATAATTAATCATACTGCGTATTGTAGAAGGACAAGCGACATGATACACATTTTTAATAAATAAAATTAGACTTATGTTATAGTCAGGACAAAAAATAATCAACAAGTTAAATAAACAATCAAAGACATATTTATTGTGGATCATTACTCATATTGTTGCACAATAAAGAAAAACAAGAAAATATGGACATCATTTGATTCATCTCCATTGAGACAGCTAGCTAAGAGCCTAAGATTCAGAATATTGTTCTAACCAATCTAACGTGAAGTCGTGAACGCTTTCATTTTCATTTTAATAACTAATCAACCAGCCTGTAATAAAATTGGCCCATTGGCTGCTAAGCCTGCTATCATTAGGGGTGACCTAATTACTGCCCTTGGTTGGAGGGTTGGAGAGGACGTGGATCAATGGATGGGAATGGGAATCAAAGTGATGTTTGGAAGGAAGGAATGAAAGGTGAATAGTGACCCCCACACACACACATTTGGGATCAAAGTACTTCTATTCTCATTCCCCTCTGACCTCTACTAACGCATTCATTGCCATTCCCATACCGTTCAAATTACCCAACAACCCCTAAGAAGTATAGAAAATATTTGGAAAGAAAACTAACAAAACATGTCTACATTACTGTCAAGATTTAATCTTTCCAACTGTCCTTGTTAGACCGTCTAGAAGCTACCACCACTTTGGATGGGCGGCTTGGAGTGACGGGCACAGCAGGAGTTTTTGGTGCTTCTTCATCGTCCCAGTTGTCGTTCCAACTCTTGCCCCATCCATCACTTACAGCCACCTCAAGTTTCCCTCCACCCGAAACTGGCAACTCCATATCTAGTTTTCGGTACTTACCACTTCCCATCTTGGAAACGTGCTTCTTATAATAGTTGATGCATGGCCAAACAGATGCACACAACAGCAATGCCACCAAGAAAATTATTGTTGCAGAGGAAGAGAGTGATGGGTACTTGAAGTGGGAGACGTGGTCAGCTTCGTTGTCAATGCTATGTTCAATCAGATTGCTGAAGTCAAGCTTACATTTGCCATCTCCTGCCTCTACAATGATGAAGTTGTCGCTCCCACTGTTCTTGAAGGAAACCTTTATCTGCAATGTGATAAATGTTTATTTATTTCAATAAAATTCTCTTTTTAAAAAAAAGAGTGAAAAAAAAAAGTTCAGAAATGTGAGATTTTCAATTACAGAATTTCACGATACTCCAAGAATTTAAGTACATATTCTGAGTTCTATACAGCAAAGAATCTGGCGAAACCAGTAAGAGAGATATTTCAGAATTTCAGTACATATTCTCGAGATTGTTAAACTCGAGATCCTACCACGGATTGGAAGGGGCTAGGAGATTGTAACTCACGGATCATAATCGGATCTTAAGATCTTAGAATCAAAGTTACCATACAATATACTCCCTACATATACTCTCAATATACACATTCATTTTCATTTACCCCAGTGCCGCAAAGGCTCCCACCTACGGTGGGGTAAGGGGGGGTCGGATGTACGCAATCTTACCCCTGTATTAAAGCACAGAGAGACTGTTTCCAGATGACCCATAGTGAAAATCCCGTCCAAAATTGCATAGACTAACTGCTGCTTCATAACAAAGAAGCGCAAACAGTTTAGTGAGCCATTTTACTTTATTCCATCATAATCTCAAGCCAAAAAATAATGAATCTTTGGCTCCATTGCAAATGATGGAAACGACTCTATTCAAATCCCTAATTAATATTAAAGAAGCGCAGACAGTTTAGTGAGCCATGAATCTCAATATACACACATAATTAAATTTAAAACTCTATTCAAATCCCTAATTAATATTAATAATAATAAAATCATGTCAAGACCCACTCCACTTGCCTTAAGAACAAGACCCACTCGCCACTGTCGGTCAGAGAGGCGACAACTTTTAGTAATTAAGAAAATCAGGGACTTTTGGATGAAGAACAGAGGGATAAAAGTTTCAGAGACAAAGCACAGAGAGGATAAAAGTTTAAAAAATCTTGTTTCTCTCTTAATTTTATTCCTGTTTTGTAACAAATACAGTTCATAACCTAGCTCCAACTCAAATCATATCAAATATTTCGCTGAAATAACAGACAAAATTGTTTAAGGCTCAAACAATGTCAACAACAAGAACCAACACTGTAAACATATTTACCAGTCTACAGACAAAATGATGTCATAGCTTCACCGAATCAGGACACTCCAAATCTGTTGTCTACTCACTATACCTGATCCGCCCTTCCAATCTCACTGGTCTGGATGGCAGTAAGTGGCCTCAATGAAAGGGGCAGCCCAGTGCACATTGGCGTCCCCGCAAGGCGAGGGTCCAAGGAAGGGTCTCACCAGAAGGGTGTATAAGAAGCAAGTGGTCTCAATGACAAACAAAAAAAATTATAAACAAAACAGGAAAGTCTGAACCAAAATTAAAATACTAAAAGAGAATTCAAGGAACTATAAAGCAACATTAGCTATGATAAAGTAAGCATGTCAGTCAGTAGTATGAAAGGAATCAATGCCCTGAGAGATGAATTGTTGAGTTAAGTTTGTAATTTTGTATTTAATTTGTCAAATTAATTTTTTAAATGTTTTGAATATCACAATGAACTTGTTCTAACTTCACTTAGATCTTTAATTCAGAAAAGATATCTGAAAAGAGATATCTGAAAAGAGACCATAAATGAAAAAAGATACTCATGCAGCAGCTGGTTTAGCCATTAAAGACTAGCAAACTGTCCAAATATCCATTTGTACGTATTCTTGATCACACTAAGATTTCGCATAAATTATTTCATTCTAAAGAACATTACATTGAAGGGTGAGACCTAAGACTACCCGCATCCTTGCCCGTCAGAAAACATCAATATGAACTCCGTCTATATGAAAACCATGTATGAACTCCGTCAATACATTTTTCCTCTGCATCCCAGCACCGTCAATAAAAACCAACATATATTTTTACATATCAATTTAGTATAAAAATAATTACATAATTATCAACAATTTTTTTCTTGGATTTTTTTCTTAATAATTTCGAAATAAAAATGCACATTTTGATGTAAAACATAAAAATATTATTAAATATTTTTTTTCCTCTTTCGGTTAATAAAAAATAAAATGGATTCAAGCAAAGTTTGGTTATTTGTGGAGGCACCTTTGATTAAAAATGGGAGAACTCCCCATTAGGACCAAAACACACTCATTTTCCAAAACATACTTTGTTCAGCATCTTTGCTGCCTTACTTCCCAACTAATATGCAGCACCCAACTGTAGAGAAGTCACTCTTGAGGCCATCAGTTGCTGTAGTCCTAATTTCACTGAATGTGTTTCCATAGCCCTGCCCTAATCATAAATATTACAGTATTACCAGGAACAGCTCAAAACAAAATAAAAATCCTGTGCACTTCTCTTGCTCCAGGAAACCCTAGTTCGCTGCCCCTAGTAGTCTCCAAGCCATTGCTCAAACCAATTATAATTATTCCTATTCTGATTTTTCTTTAAAAGGGTTTGAAAAAATGGATCATCAGGCTCTCCATGTCACCGCCCCTCAATTATTTTGTTTGGTTGATGAGTACAATTTTTTATGCGCTTTCGGTGAAAGATCAGTGCAACATATTGAGATTTTGAAATCTGACCGGTTTGAACTCTAAGTTGTAGTACATTTTATTCCTTACTAGACACCATAACTGCCCTCTTAGAACTTCAAGAGAAGAATATTTATAAAGGATGTTGCACCATGAAAATACAGCGCGCTTCCCTAGCATCACATTCATCATCAACTCCACACCCAGCAACTTCACAACCCGCTTCACAACCTACAGAAGAAAACCCACCTCCAAATTTATAGTCACCAAACCTTAAACAGCCACTTCAAATAGTTCCCTTGCAGTCAGCCACGTCACTGGAAAAACAACCTCCACCAACTCCATTGCTTCCAACTTTGGTGGCACTCCCAGAAAAGCTAAAGATTCTGACAACTTCTCTTTCTGGACAGTTTTTTTACACAAGATGAGCTATCTCTGCCATGTGCCAAGGTCACCAGACCACTTCTTTCTATACCAGATCTGGTAAGCTATGCTTCAACGGTTCAAATAGCAGAGGAAGTGTCTTCATCAGAGGTTGTAAGCTCGTTGAGTAGACCACAAAAAGGGATATTTATTTCAGCAACAACTTTGCATTGGCAATTTCTCTCGGGCCTAGGGTTTGAAACTATTATGCATTTATACTACACTTGGGTTCTGATCTCTTCGGGAAAAGTGCTGAACCCGCAATGGAAGGATTTGATGGTCTCTTCTTGCATCAGCTATGTGTTTTTGAAGGACTTATGCATATGGACCGACAACTCAATTTCCACACTCCATTTTCTAGTTTCTTCAGTCAATAAGCCAACCTAATCACAAGATTCACATGGAAGTGTCTAATCTCTGTATGCAGTCACATTGGTTATGCACAAACTACAAAAAGTGCATCTGGCACAATGCGATAAATGTTTTTCTAATCACACTATTTGATCGTGGCAAAGACTGGAGGTTACTTTCCTTCAAGCTTGAGGAAAAGCTTGATGTCCAAGACGTGAGTAATGACATGAGCAACGAAACCTTATATTATTATTATTACTATTATTATTATTACTCCTATTCTGGTTTAGGCAGCTTCTTAATTAGCATTTATCTCCTTTTATAAGTATTCTTGTTCTACTTTAGGAAACTTCTTAATTAGCATTTATTTCCTTTTATAATTAGGGCCCTTGTAATAGCTATGTAAGGGTCATCAGAATTATTCAATAAAGAGCTTGGGAAATTTTAATTCTTGCATGTCTTGACAAGGTCGGGCACTGATTAATTCTAGCCTATGCCTACTTATTCCTCTCTCATATTCTCTATTTCCTAGATCTGAAACGAGATCCCAACCACACCCGTAACAAATTAATGTTCAAGGGAACCATAATGAATTAAACCATGTACGATACATTGAAGCTTGGGTATTCTTACCTTCGTGTTTTCCATCTCTTTGAGATCAATCTGTCTCATCTCCAGTTCAACATACTTAGAAGCAGATATACTAACACTTATATGGTGTTTTCCTGTGTTCTGGACCAGTAGTGAAAGGTCTGGGGATTCTGACAGGAGACAAATTGTAATCTGAAGTTATATTAAGAAGAATGTTTTAACTCACAAATAATGCACTAAATAGAAACCTTATTTAAAAAAAAGTGAAGGCATCCTCTTCATCGTAACCAGAAAGATGAAGAATGGATATGATTTAGAAAGCTAATGTCCTTCTCGGGTGGGATTGAAACTCTTGGAGGACTCCATATCACCCCATCACAGGTACAATATAAATAACTTGTTAATCCTAGTACCACAGAAATGAAAAATATCACACATTTCTAAACACCCTACAGAAAAGTGAATCTCTTAACTTAAGGATGAAGGAGGAGCCAACGGTAAGTCCAACCAAAGATTTATGCAAATTCTACACCAAATTATACCTCGTCTTTAGCTCGCTAGCTCGCTGCGGATTCAAATTTCAGAGGCTAGTTGAATACTTGAACTTAAAGTGGTAAAGAAAAGAACCATTGCTGCAGTAGTACTCGTAAAAGCTCAATGATGATTGGTATACAACTTTCTCATTTCAAGCTGCTTTTTAAGATCACTGCAGAAATGAATCATAGGTGCAAAAAAAATCCAACTTCCTAAGCACATGGAAGTAGCATAATTCGAAATGAAATGGAAAATAAAGATTATTTTAACATTAAAACACATCTGTGTGCAGAAAGTGGAAGGAAAGTGAGAGAGACAATAGGAGGTAAAGGGAGATGGATAAAAAAATGATATGATAAGTGCATGGGGTAGAGGTGGTGGATGTATTGAATCGAAGTCATAGGTGAGGGGATAGAGAATCAGAACTCCACTCTCATTTTCTTCCTATTTGAGACATGAGGTAGACAGAGTTCTAGCCATTTACCCTCAAATCCAAACAATAGAAATTACGTTTTTTTCTAAAACAAACTATACGAGTCCCATAAGGCCAAATTGATGATAAACTACTAGCATAACAGTAAAGAAAATCAATGCTCTATTGACACAGCTCACACAGCAAAGAAAATAGTCTAACAATGTGACTAACATACCATTTCCTGGAACCCTTAAACAAGCAAGTAATGATTCGTCCACAATATTGCAACTGTAGGGTGAAGAATCACAATGTTCACCTCGAATGCTCTCTTTCCCCCCAGTTGACGATGTCACCTCATGTCCAGACTCTAAACCCAGCATGCCAACAGCCTTTGCTTTCTCATCATCCTGCTTCTCAGAAGCATGGTCTCCAACATTTTTTAAGCCAGCGTTATTGTTGACCGTACTCTCAGAACTTCTAACATCAAGTCCTGCATCATCCTCAGCTTCCTCTAGCACTACGTGATTACTTGAATTACTCTTTTTCAGACCAAACGTCTTTTGATTACCATTATTTATCAGGCCAAGATTCGCATTGAAGGTACCATTCTGCTTCAATGGTTCCACGCTTGTAGCATCTAGAGCACTATTGGAAGTTATATTGACCTAGCATTGAGAGCCCAGCTCCAATGAGATGTATAAAACGATACCAACCACCAAAGCACACATATCATGGATAACTAAAACTCACACAAAAAAATTTGAATGCCTATTAAAAAATTTGAGAAATAATCTACGTTTTAACTAATACTCAGGTAAATATTGTTTCTTTTTGTTAGAATACCTCATAACCTGCGTCGACATAGTTGAAGGCGAGGAATGCTATGAACCCAATCAACAGGAATCTATGTACTGTCTTCATCTTTCGATTAGTTTGAGCCGACACAAGAGTTCAGATTGCAAAAAAAGAAGCAATTTTCTCATCAATTTCTCGCCTTTGTTCTTAAAGTAGTTCATAAAGGATACCGAGTATAAGAACGCTAACCCATGAGGCCAACATGCGTAATCATGTCATGAGTAAAAGAGTAGAAATAAACTCAGAAGCTAAACAAGTTCCACCTTTCCTTTTCGGACAGATTCAAAATTAAGTTCCACTTTCAAACATTTTCTTGTTTGGCAAATTATCCACATCAAAACAGTGTCAAACAGTATTCAAACAGTGCTAAACAGTGTTCATACAGTGTCAAACAGTGCACTCCACAGTAAAGTCAAATTTATTTTCTTAATATGTGTGAAGTCAAATGTGGAACTTGTTTCAGAAACGGAAGGAGTAGTTAGGAAAAAAAGTAATATTGGAATTACTTTTATGGGTATATTTAATAAAGTTAACCATCACTTTAGTTATTTTTTATATAACTAGATTATAAATCCGTGCGTTGCACGGGAAAAATCAACTCACATTACCAAATAAAAAGAGATCGAATGAATATTGTATACTACCTCCGGCCCGGGTAACGGTCCCAATTGAGTTTACGATATTTGACATGTCATAAATTTAAGTGATCCTTGTTAATAATAAAATTATTTTAGTAAATAAAATTTATATATTCAAAAATTATATTAAAAGTCTTGTAAAGTCGCAAAAAACTCAAATTTGATAAAAATTGGATATATAAAGAAAAAGGTTAAGAAAAAATTACATTAATTTTCATCTAATTTTTTATTCATTAATTAAATATATTTTAAATACGGAGTATAATTTTTCTATAATTTAGAAGAATTAGAAAATTTAATCAGTTCAATAAGAATTTCATAATTTCAGAAGTTTTAACCAATTTTGTCAATTGCAATGTTACTCAATGGGGTCTTGTGAATAAGTTCTACTTCACTTGACTTTTATGGATGCCACTTATGAGAGAATGAGTTTTAATGTTATGACTTGAAGAATGCTTCAATGTGGGAATATGCGGGAATAATTGGAGAAATTTAATTGTCCACTCAATTCCTTTATATTATATAAAGATGAATATTGTATACTACCTCCGGCCCGGGTAACGGTCCCAATTGAGTTTACGATATTTGACATGTCATAAATTTAAGTGATCCATGTTAATAATAAAATTATTTTAGTAAATAAAATTTATATATTCAAAAATTATATTAAAAGTCTTGTAAAGTCGCAAAAAACTCAAATTTGATAAAAATTGGATATATAAAGAAAAAGGTTAAGAAAAAATTACATTTATTTTCATCTAATTTTTTATTCGTTAATTAAATATATTTTAAATACGGAGTATAATGTTTCTATAATTTAGAAGAATTAGAAAATTTAATCAGTTCAATAAGAATTTCATAATTTCAGCAGTTTTAACCAATTATGTCAATTGCAATGTTACTCAACGGGATCTTGTGAATAAGTTCTACTTCACTTAACTTCTATGGATGCCACTTGTGAAAGAATGAGTTTTAATGTTATGACTTGAAGAATGCTTCAATGTGGGAATAGGCGGGAATAATTGGAGAAATTTAATTGTCCACTCAATTCCTTTATATTATATAAAGATTTTTTTATTAATTAAAAATATTTTAATATTGATAGATTATATATCTAGAGAGAGAAGTGCAATAACTCTTTGCAATAAATGATTTGTCAACCCCTATAACTACTCTCAAGGGGAGTATTTATAGAGAAAAATAGGGCCGGGCTCCCAAGTCTTGGGCTTGGGAGGCCCATTTACAATAGGGCCACTAATGGGCCGGATACAAAGTGTATAGAAAAGATTAAGTGTAAAATCCTGTTCTGGAGGCTGTCTATGGCCGACGAGGGCATGGCCGACGAAGACCCGGCCGACGAGGTCACCCGGCTCTCCTGGCTTCTGGGTCATATTCTGAGTAGACTTCTTTCTGGTCGATGGAGGTCATCTGGCCGACGAGGGTCCCACCAGGTGATCGTTGTACCTTCTGTTCTCCCGAGTATGTGGGCCCTGGGGTACAGGCCCATATACTCCATCAGGAGCCCCCCCCCCCCCCCCCCCCCACTCTTTAAGCTGAGATGTAGATGAGGTGAAGGAGAGTAGATTCTCTGGCGTTGACGTTTTCTGGCCATTGTGGGGCCGCTATGGAGTCTTGGCCGTTATTGACACCCTTTGCTTTGGGCCTTTATTTTTCGTTGCTACGGGGGCTCTACGTTCTGGCCGTTGTGTGGCCTTCGCTGCGGACGAAGAGGGCCCTAGCCATGGGTGATGCTGTTTTCTGTTTGAGGACGACGAGTGCCTTTGCTTGGTGGAGACGATGAACGTTCTCTGTCACGAGTGGCCGATGAAGATGGTGCTTCCTTACTCCTGGCCGTTGATGGTCGAATTTCGTACTCTGGGCCGAGGAGACCATTGTGGTTATCTCCTTTTTTGGGGACGATGGGTGTCCTTTAGTTTCCGGATGGCCGGTGAGGGTGTTGTTTGCTTTATTTGGCCGTCGCGGCTCTCATTCTATGTCCGTAGCTTGGTGTCCATGTTTTTGAGGACGATAGTGGCACTGATCCGGAAGGAGTAGCACATATCCTGGTCTTGTGGACGACGGTGATTTAAGGACGTTGAGTTCCTATTTTAATTCCTGGCCGAGAGTGGAGTATGTGATCTCACAGCTGTTGAGTACCCTGTGATCTCAGCTGGATTTGCTGCGGCCGACGGTGCACCACAAGGTTATGGATGTTGTGGTGCATATATGATGTGATGTTGTAGTTGTGGACTTAGTGTATTTTTGGATTTCTTTGATTTTGTCCTTGATTTCCAGAGGCCGGTGTAGTCCCTCAGTCCCCCACTGCTTCAGGTCGAAGAGTGAGTGAGGGGTGAAGGAGTAAGGCGTAACCCTAGGCCGAAGCGGGATTCTTGTATTCCCCTGAATCCAACTCCTCGGCGATTTCCTGACCAAGGTAATCCTGTGGGAGAACCCTTGGACGCAGATCGCTTTCAAGAAATTATCATCAGGGTTTTATACAAGGTCGATGGCTATGGGGGTTGCTTTTTGCTTTGTTGTTGTGGCCGTTGAAAGGGCCATGCTATTGGTATTCTTGTTGGGGCCGATATGGGCACACCTTGTGGTGTGACCTACCCTTTTGAAGTCATCTTTGTGTTGAGGCCGATGTAGGCGTGCTCTCTAAGTATGGCCGTTGAGTGGTTGGCCGTTATGGACGCTGATTACTGTCACGTTGGTGATGGGCTTGTATTGATGGAAGTGGGCCCGACCCGTCTTTTGGATCGGTGCCAGCCCAATGGGCCCTGGGTTTGGTGGCCGTTCACGTGGCCAACGGGTGTGTGCCACGTGTAGTGACCGTTGGGGGGGAGGTCTATAAATACCCCCCTCCCTCCGAAGGGGCTCCCCATTGCATTCTTGAGATAACAAAGTGCTGCCAAATTTTCTAGAGAGAGAGCCTTGTTCGTGTGTTCTTCCATTCTTCAAAACTTCAAAGGTCAGTTCATCGAACTTTTCTCCACTTCCTTGCATACTTTGCTTCTTTTAGACTTTGATCTGGTGTTAGTGGAGAATCACCCTTAGATCCAAAGTAATCCCCTCTAGGCTTTAGCTAGTTGTTATGATGAAACCCTCGGACGATGAATACTACCCATATGACGATGAGGCCTCCGTGAAGTCCCTCGACTACCGGGTAGTTGAGGAGTGTTGCGAAGAGATCGAGGACCTGTGCTACTTCAAGTCAGGGGAGCCGGAGGTCAGTGAGGGTGAAGACGAAGAGGCCTCCTCGTCGTCTGAAGGGGAAGACGTAGGGGTCTCCCGTGCCGTGGACTCACTCCCATGATCATCCCTATTGGTCTCCTCAGATAGGGCTTCTGCCACCTGACTCATCATGTTACTTAGATCATGTATTCTGGTTGAAGTGGTCTGCATGAACTGAATGAGCGTCTCTTCCAAATCAGAAAGCCTCTTTAAATTTGTCTCCTCTTGTTGATTATGTAGCTCATTACTCGACAAGGATGTAGAAATGACTGGAACATTTGTGTTCATATAGTGTGGGGAGGAAGAAGTGGGGTATGTAGTTGCCTAGTAAGGATGGTCATATGGAGGAATGTGGCAAAGACATAAATGGTGACCTCCTCCACAGAAGGAACAAATGCTTTTTTTAGGAAAGTAGTTAGTCAATTCCTCGGGACTTTTAGTTTGAACAAGATATTCAAGCATGGAGCCTGGTTTCGCTCTAGGATATTGTGAATAAGCATAATGATACGAGGATTGATATTGAGAATGTTGCGCATTTGGAGGAGGGTAATAATAAGAAGACTCGAAATTTTGTGGTGGGGAAGGGTGATATTGGTGAGGAGTGTAATGAGGGTAATATTGATGAGGAGGGTATGGCGTATATGGTGAATATTCTGTGGAGGTTTGAGGGAATGATGTTCCTCCAGGAATTGAGCTGAATGGGTTCATCTCATGTCTCTTTGAAAATACCTGAAAAGGTTAGCAAAGAAAAATCCTACGAAAAACTAAAAACAAAACTAACAAAAAAAACACGCTTAAATTAATTAATCCTTAAAACCGACACCGTCCCCGGCAACGGCGCCAAAATTTGATGTGAGTTTTCTCGCACTTAAAATAGATCGTAATATAGTGGTGTAAGTACGAGTATCGTCTCCACAGAGACGGACAAAAGGGAAATAAGAATTAACTAAATTCAGCGATTAAAACGAAAATAAAATAAAAGCGTCGTGCGAGATTGATTGGTTGAAAATTAACTAATGCAAATGAGCGAATAAAAATAGATTGGTTTCTCTCTAATTAACGACGAAGGGAACAGGGATTGAGCCTAGCTAATCATTACTAAGTTCTTACCGCTCTAGCGGCGTAGAGTACAATAATTTAAGGGATCAAGCTGATCTCTAATGCGACAGGATCCTAAATTATTGTCAAAACGAGCGACCTTACGGCCCCTTAATCGCTACTAATCTCTTAGCGAATGATTACGTTTGTGTGAATGTGTCCTAGAATGAATTAGATCTCTCTTAACTTATTCTACAGGCAATTGTAATTCTAGTGGCTATCTAGGTTACAAAAAATATCAG